CGCTGGAGCCCCAGGGCCATGAACCCGCCTGGCAAGGGCTCCTGTGCCCGTCTGGGGGTCGCAACGCCCCATCCTCCTCCGGGCAGCCTTCTTCCCCGGCCCGGGGCCCCTGCTGCTGGACCCATCTGGGGGTGGCCCCGCGCCCGCACATGCATCGTCTGCTCTAATCTCTGATCGCTCCCACCGCCTCATCCCCGTGGCATCTGTGCGCCACGCCCCACCCTCGGCCACAGCCAGGGTCCCAGATGAGCTGGCAAAGGTCCCTGTCTCCGGAGCATCCCCTCTGGGGCCACCACGGCACCTCGGTGTGCTAGGAAGGGGCGATTTCCCCCAGCTGTGGGGGCCCCGGGTGGAGCGAAGCCCGGGTACCAAGGCAGGACCGGGTGAGGCACAGCCGTATCCACTGGCTCGGGAGCTTGGTACCAGGCACTCTGGAAGCAGGGGAGCTAATCCTGTAGGGCCCTGCAGGCTTTTGCACGGGTTTGGATTGTACCCTGAGAAGGGGGTGTGTTGGTGTGAACGGGACAGCTGCAGGTCTCACTCATGATTTGTAATAATCACCCCCCAGCCTTTCCTGCATTTTTTATTATTTGATTTGATTTTTTTGGTACCGGGGATCGAACTTGGGTCGTTGTGCTTTCTAGGCAGGCAGCGGCACCACTGAGCTAAATCCCGGGCCCTATTATTTGATTTCTTGATGATTGATGGCCATTCTTTCTGGGATGAGATGGAATCTCAGTGGAAAGATAAACTTGGGGCATTTGTAGGAAAGTCGATGCGTTCTTGGGATCCTCAGTAAACAGACACGCCTTGGCGTCACATGAGGAACCCAAAGTATAACCAGCCAAATAAAAGAGAAGTAGGGGGATAGATCTTTCTCAAGTGGGCAGGGGATGAAAAAAATGAAGCACCGAAGGAAAAAAAAATGGGAAGGGGACCGAGAATTGGCAGGAAGAGGGTAGGAGGGGAACGGAGGGGACGAAGAAAGAATTAGGATGTGTTATGTCCACGCACCGACTCCTAATAAATGTAATCGTCACGCCTTGCAGACGTGGACGGATAAAATATTTTAAAAATGACCTGGGGCTGGGATGTAGCTTAGGGCCAGAGCGCTTGTGTACGTGCGGGAGGCCTGGGCTTGAGCCTGAGCGCTGAAAATGGATTCAGAGAATTCATCTGGCCACTGAGCGGTAGGGGGACAGAGCGGAGGCCACGGCCGTAGC